GGAGGGACAAACACAGCTAGGTAGAAATTAATGTGCACATTTTTTAAAATGGCTGCCTAATAAATAGCCAGCCCCCATCCCATAATCCCACAGTCCTGCTTGGTCCCTCCTATGCCCGCCTCCTAACCCCTGTCAAGGCCCTTTTCCGCTAAGCTGCGCTCTGGCTACATGGGGCTACAATACACAGAGTTTAGGATAGCAAGGAACAGACAAAGGAAATAAATGTATTACCAGGCCTCAGAGTGGGTGGACTTAATGTTAGACAGAGAGTAAAGCGTAGTAAATGTATTTTTTCCTTATTGTTAAAATTAAGGGTTACTCCCTGTTCACGTTCACTTGTACACACAAGTAGTCCCTTTGTGGGACACTCTGTTTTTTCTGGACATAATGATACACAGAGAGTAAAGCGTAGACACTACATGCCAAGGTCAGGCCAGGGTAACAGAGAGACAGCGAAAATGAGAACTAGCCAGAGTCAGGTACATTGTAAACAGTCAGTCAGACAAACAAGACAGGCAAGGGTTAAAAATAAACTTAGTCAGGAATGAAGCCAAGGTCAATACCAGAATGAAATACAAAAAACTCAGGGAACGCAATAAAGGGTACAGGGAACAGAAACCACAATAGGGCACAGTATCTAGGGCTAGTCATGCCTGTAACCCCAAAACATGCATTAATAGGGGAGCCAGAATGACGTGGGCCAATGGGAGTTGACGTTGAGGTTAGGCTCCAATTTGCCATTTAAGAAAGCTATCATATTTTATTTGTGTTAACAAGGTGTATACATTGTGATATGTCGGGCACTTTTTCATTACGCCAGTGTCTGCTAAGTAACGTGATTGCAGCTGTATTAATGTGGTACATTACCTACCTGGTTGTAAAGGAAAGCTTTGGTGGGTAGTTTGTAACAGGAGACATTCTGGTGTATGTGGAATAGTAATTCCAAGGCTTGTGTTTATAAGTTGTGCTACTTCTACCCAAAACTGCTGTTTTGTACAGTGCCACCAAATGTGGAGCATTGTGCCTTGCTCTGTTCCGCATCTCCAGCAAGTACCGGATGCATTGGGATATAAATGCTTAAGACCAGCCACTATCAGGTACCATCGGTAGAGTATTTTCCTGGAGAGCTCAATGTGGTTGGTGCATAGTGTTAACTGTTTGTGTGCTGTAAATATTTGTTTCCAAGAGTGGTGTTAGTTTAGTTTAATTGCCAGTTTTTGTTTTACCAAGGTTTTTTTCTAAGCTCATCATCTGCTGCTCATGTACAATTTTACTTTCTGTATTTATGTTGTCCCTGAATTCACGATTGCAAGAAATGTGTTATCGATGGGAGATTATACATTTCTTGTAAAGTACGAAAATCAATGAGTATTACTTTGGATCAGTTGAGACAGAAACCTGATATGGTGACTGTCCCATATTTTATGGTTGAAGTCTGAGATGGTAGATCTCAGTGCCGAGATTGGCATGGCTAGAGAGTATGGGTCCTGAGTGCTATGTATATGTCTACAAGTGTCCCATCTGTTGATAGTCAAGGTAGTTGTAGGTAGCATTGCAAAATTTTTTGGTCTGAGGTGTTTTGGTAACCATAGTAATGTCAAGATGGTATGCCCCCGTGTAGCTAGGTCTTCCAATGCGTACCCATTGTGGCAGGTGGTGTTGTGTTTGTTCTAGCACTATGGAGCTAATAATTGTCACTTGGAGGTAAAATGTTATATTGGGGAGGTTCAGTACTCTGTGGGTGAATTTGTTATAGAGTGTATGTGCAGCTATTCATGGGATTTTTGTTGCCCATATGAAGTTGTTTATAACTTTTTGGGGTATCCTTGAAGTAGGAGGCTGGGATGGCAATTAGTAGCGTTCGGTAATGATACTGCAAATTGGGAATAATAACCATTTTGATCGCAGCGATGCGTCCCGACCAGGAGAGGAATTTCCCCTGCCATTCAATTTGTAATATGAGCATCTGCTGTAGTGGTATAGCAGTGTGGTGAAAGCCGGTAGTGTGTGGTTTCGTCATAGTGAGAAGGACATCATCTGCAAAAAGTGTGAGTTTGTATTCCTGATCATGCATTTTTTTGCCATGTACGTCTGAGTTCTCCCGAATAGTAGAGTTAAGGGGCTCTAGGGCCAGCACGAAAAGCAAGGGTGATAGGGGGGCACCCCTGTCTGGATCCATTTGAGATTGTGAATAGCTCAGTTGAACACCTTTGCTACTGGGTTACTGTATAAGGCACTGACCACCATGAACATTTGTGGGAATTCAAACTTCTTTACGATCGCATAGAGGAAGGGCCAGTGAAATCGATCAAATGCTTTTTCAGCATCTAGTGAGAGGAATACACCGTCCCTCCCTCCACCCAGCATAGGAAGCAAGTTCAGTACATTTCTGGTTCCATCACCCCCCTGTCTCCCTCGTATGAAGGCCACTTGATCATCATTAATAATTGTGAGGCGTATTGGTGCCAGTCTGTTCGCAAATATTTTTGCGAAAATCTTAATAACTGCATTTAATAATGATATAGGACTCAAATTCTGTCCTCTGTCTGGTGTTTTCCCCGGTTTGGGAAGAGTCGTGATGTGAGCAAATAGCATATCAGATGGGGCATTTGTTGTAGAGATCATATGTTGCAATGTTGCTAGCAAATGTGGGGAGAGGGTGAACTCGAGCATTTGATACTATTGGGCCTGGGGATTTTCACTGTGGTAGTTCTTGTATAACATCCATGATTTCTGTTTCTGTTAGCGGGGTTTGCATTTTGGTCTTGTGTTCTTGAGAAAGGGAGGCAAAGAGACCCCAGACAGATATCCATCTATCTCAAGTCCTGTCGGTTGGTGTAGCGGCGTATCTGTTTGGAGGTTGTAAAGGGTAGTATAGTAGTTTGCTAGGTTGTTAATGATGTCTTGGGGATTGTAGAGTTTTACCTCTGTTGCTGTGAGTATGTATGGGATTTTAGAGTGTGATTTTTTTTTTCCACAGTTGCACTGCTAGCAATTTGCCTGACTCATTGTTTTGGGTGTATTGTCTCGTTTTCAGCTGTTGTAATAGGTGTGCAGTTTTCTTCATGGATATGTCATTTAGTTGCTTGAGTATGCTACCAATAGTGACTCGTAACGTGTCATTGGGCCGTATATAATGTTTGGTCATGGCATCTCTCAAGTCACGTAGTAATTGTGTATATTTGGCTTAGGATCGTTTTTGGAGATATGATGCATGGCTCAAAAGGAGTCTTTGCATCACTGCTTTGTGAGCTTGCCACTGAGCAATAGGGGTTGTGTCTTCAGTGCTGTTAAGTGTAAAGCAATTGTGTAATTGGGTTTCAATCTTTTCCCAAAAGCGTTTATCCTGTAACAGTGATTCATTAAGGTGCCAAGGCACGTGTCCAATAGTTGTAAATTGTTCTGAGATTGTTATTATATTTGGAGCATGGTCTGATCAAACTATATCCTTGATGGTGCTCTGTTGTATTAAGGTTAGCGTGGGACCAGAAATTAGCATGTGGTCTATTTTGGAGCATGTTTTAAATATATGGGAGAGTAGTGTGTATAGACACGCTCTGAAGGGTGTGTTACTAGCCATGTGTCATAGTACCCAAAGTCTTGAAACATCTTGTGAAGGATTTGCATTGAGATTTGATAGCTTTATAACGTGGTGCTAGTGGAGATACTGTAGTGTCAACGGTATGGTCTAGGACGTGGTTTAGATCACCACAGATGATTGTGAAGTTTGTTCTGATAGGTTCAAGTTTAGTTAACACTTTGTGAAAAAATTCAGTTGGTCATTTGGGCTATAAACATTGACAATTGTATACATTATGTCATTTATCATACACAGTATAATCAGAAACCTTCCCTGGTGGTCAGTTATTAGTTTAAGTAATTCAAATGTGAGCGATTTATGTATGAGGATAGACACTCCTCTAGCTTTGGACGAATGGGTTGCGTGATATTGGATTGGGTAATCATTGGCGCCAAAGAATGGTACCCTTAATTTAACAAAATGGGCTTATTTGGCATCTCATATTAGAATGCAGCATTTATGTGGAGAGTTTAACCCTCTGGTATTATGCAAGTATATTTTCATGATCTCATTGGGGTAGGTATAGCTCAATGAAAAGTGGTTTGGGTTGTATAGTGGGGATTGTCTCAGCTACACACTTGTTTTCTACATATGTGTGTGAGTACCCGGCACTGGTTAGTATTCGGTGTTGTGTGGTCCATTGTTAGGATCCAGATAACTGCTGGGCTGGGTTGAAGTGTCCTTTCCAGGAATGATAGGGGTGTGAAAGGTGAAGGGTAAGGAGAAAAAACATAAGACAACAATTCAAACAAAATTATGTACAGTATTCCCCAAAGTGGGGAAAAGGGTGCTGGATTGTTGCACCATGGGAGGCAGAAGAATTATTCTTACAAAGTTGGGGCTACCTGGGCTCTGTTGGAAATGTATTCTTTAACATTGTGTAGGAGAGTTCTAATCTGCTTTCAATATGAGGGTTAGGCCTTACAACCTCATTGGTGTCACTAGTCGTCTGGACTGGCCTAGGTAAAGTAAAAGGAACAGAGCGTGAATAAGCCATCTTCAATAGAGGTGACCGGAGTAATGCCTTCTTGTTGTACAATCAATAATTTTGTGGGATATCCCCACCGATATCTGATGTTGTTGTTGTCCCTTAGTGTGGACGTGATTTGACTGAACAATTTTCTGTTTCGTAAAGTGGCGGCAGAAAGATCTGCAAATATATTCACTCCTGCGTATTCTCCTGAGACGAGTGGCTTGGTGTGGCTGCTTTTCAACACCAGCTCCTTAATGTGGTAATAATGTGCTCTTAAGAGCATGTCTCTGGGATATGTTTCGACTTGTGGGAATCAGTGAATAAGGTCTAGCAGAAGCATATCAGCTGGGATTAGCGTGTTCATGAGGCCGCGGACATAAACGTGCAGGTCTTCGTCATTCACTGTTTCAGGGACTCCCCACAGTCTTAAATTGTTGCTCTGTCCTCTTAATCCATCATTTTCTTTTCAAGGGTGGCTATCTGCTGTTCTAGAGCTTGCACATGTTCTGCCAGATCGTTATGTGCAGTAGCAAACTCCGCCATTTTAGATTCTGAGTGCACTGTTCTATTGCCTACCTCATGGATGTCTTTCTGTAGGGCTTTCAGGCTTGATTGACAGGAGTTAATCAGCTTAGACGACAGGGCATCCAAAGCATCTTGTTTTGTTAGGTTTCCTTTGGAGCCTCTGTCTTCTGGAGTCAAGGGCGTCCTGCTTTCCTCAGAGGATCTCTCTCCATCAAGCATCATGGTCTGTGCAGCCTGCATTGGATGAAAAAGTTTAGTTTATCCTCTTTCGTGGCTGCCCATTTGTGCTTGTCAGGCGACATCGACGCTGAGAAGGTGAGTCGGAGGGTTTGGGAGAATTTTCTCTCTGTTCTTGCTGGAGCTAAGATTTAGGCATCCATCTTGCTTGGCGGTTAGCCACGCCCCTGCCTCCCCCCCTGATTATTTTTTGATCTAGATTAGGTCATGTGTGCCTCAGGCATGAGAGGCTTTGATGCTTTGTTTAATTGAATGCGGTCAGCTGTGTTTTGCCGTCTAGTTCATGGAACTAAAATCGGACTCTCGACGGCAGGAACACCGATGGGACTTCCACCTCCATCTATGTTCTGCTAAATATGCACGAACAGAGCTTCGTTCGGTAGAAATAAACTACCGAACAAACTTCAACCCTGACTTTGTGCACGAACGGTCCCATTCGACTATTTGAAGTGCACTTTTATCATTGGAAAAAGACCGGCCGCACAGCCTAATTCTCTGGAACTATTTTGGGCATGAAGCCATGAAACTTTTGATATGTTATGTTTTGGGGTACTTTCTGAACTTTGTTAAAATTGAGTTTTTCTGCCTGGAGATAATTGAGTTACTTATAGGACTTTACTCAATTATCTCTCAAGCAGAGAGATTGTGTGCTGTACATGGGCATGTTACAGACTATATGATTGTTCTGATTGGTCCTTTGTGTTCCTGTGCCCCATCAGGTCCAGGGGGTGTTCCTTTGGCCTAGAGAATTGTATAAAAGCCAACCTGAACCATTAAAGATCAGATCATCTTTCACCTTCATGAAGTTTCTGCTCATGTTTGGGGGATTGGAGAAATACACTATGGGGATTGTTATAATCACTATACTCCCCTGAGCTCTTGTAAGAGCTGTTCCTGCTTCACTCTATGAAGCGAGAGAGGTTCACCCACTGGAACCTGGAGCCTGGTCATAGGTCCAGGGTGGCTAGAAGACGGCGAGACCCCAACCAAGCTGCGGCGGTTCGTGGGGTTCACAGTGGTTATGGTGCTCCTGCACAGTTCTTATGGTACTCGTCAGTACTAGGAAACTGCGATTGGCGGAGGTACCCGGTCGGGGTGCAGTCGGTCGAAACAAGCTATATCAAATTTAGCCCTCATCAGTTGTTGCAAAGTCTGCATTATTGTTTATACCTTGGTTTGTGTTTTTCTTTTTCTTGTTTTTTTTCTTTATGTTTGTGTTCATTAGATGCATATGTGGTTATGTAAACTGGTGTTGGTTGGTCTATGCGATATAGAAAATGTGCATCCCTGTCCCAATAATGCACGGTGGCTTCAATGTATTGGGCCCACCTAAACTTCAGCTACATCACAATGGCTGGGCCAATTTACTATTTTGTCATTAATGTTAATAATTTATACACCCCTCACAGAATGAGATTGACATTCCAGCAGCTTAACGCGGCAGGGGCAGTGGCAGCCTGTCTTCTGGAGACACACTTTTGTAATCGTAGTCCACCATCCTTCTCATGTAAACAAGCAAAGTGAAATCAACTAGCCCCAAATTAATTTCCCTGCTTCATCAATATGGATTATACAATACGTGAAGATCGTTATATCCCGCTACTAGAGATTATACATTTTATTCAAAAGATTATACATTTTATTTACACATAAATATGTGTTTGTCTGATTGACTAACTGACTGTAACCAATTTAATGAGGGTCACTATAAATCTGATTACCTGGTCACATCATGCTCCAACTGTGATCCACTTTCTCTATTTTCTAATACTTCATAAAGATTTGTGGTGCCTTCTCTTGAAATATCCTGATGTGTTCCAGTCTATTAAGCAAGCCTTAACAAATTATTTCCAAGACAACTCTCATGGACTGATCTCCAAATCAATTAACTGGTTGGCACAAAAAAGAGGTCATAGGATTATTTGGTGCAGTGATAAGGCGCAACAACTCCTGTCCCTAGCCAAAGCAGAAACACAGCAGAAAGGAAACCATGATGCACACATCACAGCCAAAACAATTGCACAGTTCAAGGAGGCAGTTTTGACATTTTAGCTTGCATAAAGTACGTAGTGGGAATTTAACATACCTTACGCAGGCAAAACCTTAAATATTATTTATTACTATTTATCACAATATTTTATATCAATATTATTTATTCATTAAGGTGAAAGAACAGGGTGACTGCTTAAAACTGAATATTCAAGTTGACACCACTATTCCAGACACCTTCGGATAGGCACATTAGACTCAAAACCAATTGCAAAGCACTCACATACAAATGGAACACAGGCTGTATGATACCTGAAGAACACACCACCCAAATGACAGGGAATACTCTTACTATTCGGCTGTACACAAAATGTACTCCAGAATATATCTCATACTAACAACTGGATCTCCCGTCCCTAACATAACCCACTGCTCAATAAGCAACATAGTTTCTCCAATAGACTGTCTCCCATTATCCCCTTTCTGATCCAAGAAGACCAAGTGGGATTTGTGGGGGGTAGGCAGGGTGCAGATGGCACACAAAGTTTTGGACCTCCTATATGGGATGTGGGGGGGACAGTGTAATGCTCTCTCTAGATGCTGAAAAAGCTTTTGACATACTGCACTGGCCCTTCCTCCTTGTGGTCCTTAAGAAATGTAATTTTCCACCCCAATTCTCCTCCCTCATCACCACACTATATTCCACCCCTACCGCCAGAGTAAAGAACAGAGGCTTCATAACCTGTCACTTCACCATATCGAATGGCTCCAGACACGGCTGCTCACTCTCCCCATTGCTCTACATTCTAGCATTGGAACCACTCAGATGATATGGGACAACCCAAACATTCATGGTATCAAACTTCAAGGGCGCAAATACAAGTTATCCCTATTCACGGATGACATTCTCCAAACTCTGGAACAACCACATAAATCCTTGCCAAACTTTCATAATGTCCTTGCTCAATACAGCAAATGCTCATATCAAGCTTAACATCACAAAAATGCTAGCACTAGGCATAAACATCCCCAAATAAGATATAGCATCCCTTAAACAAAACTTTACATATAACTGGAGACGCGATCACATTAAATTCCTAGGGGTAAACATCACACCCACCATAAACATTTTACATAAAGCAAATTACTTGAAAATGCTTTGCGAACTTAAAAATATCATCCAGGGGTGTAGAGGAAAATATCTCTCCTGGACGGGGAAAATCGCAGGAGTCAAAATTATACTCCTAGCAAAGATCGAATACCTATTCCGCACTCCCACTCAAACTCCCTACAACATACATATCAGATTTGCAAAAAAATCTGAATTAATTCATTTGGGGAAACATTAGACTTAGAGTAGCAAAAACAACACTATACAAACTATTCACTCATGGCCAAATGGAAATGCCGGACGTGATGGGATACTACCAAGCAGCTCATATAGCCCCACTACTCTCCTCATTCCACCAGCCAAACCCACTAGCCTGAACAGCAATAGAAAAAAGTTACATGTGGGGGTCCCCCTGACTGTGTTGGCATGGCTACCCAAAGCATGATGGCCAAAATACCAACATACACTATCCACAATGGCCATCACCCTATATATTTGGGATAACTATCAAAACAAAATGTGTATGGTTGGAAAACCCTCACCTGCCCTACTAATAGAAGCCTTGTCATTACTTATCTCTAACTTCAACTACAAAATGTGGTGTAGGCATGGCATCTCCACTCTGTCCCAATTACTACAAGGCCCATACCTTAAAGGGTTCACAGACCTTCAATCAGAATTCAATCTCCCCAATATAGACCACTTTTCCTATATGCAATTAAAATCATGGATTAAATCATGACTCCCCTCCCCCACCATAGAAACCCAAGAGCCACAGCTGACAGAAGCCAAAAAGATTTGCCTAAGAATCAAACCTCCTAAAAAACAAATTTCAACTATATATGCCTCAAAGCACTTGATAGTGAGGAGTTTTCTCTGTCAGGAATTTTTCCCTTGTTATGGTCTTTTGTATCAATTTGCAATTCTCTGTATTTCTCCTTGTCCCCAAACCAGCTGGTGAGGAGCCCCCAATGAACAAGACAAGACAATGCAAGGTTCAAAGTGATTTGTCACATTTAATGAGCTGTGTAACAGGTTGTGTACAGCAGGAAACAGGTGTGGTCTTACAAGCATTATCCAATCCTAACAAAATCATCTATCTTATCTTAACATCTTAACCTATAGAAAGCTTGCAGGTGTATCTTCATGTTCAGACCTTACACAAAGCTAAATTTCACTATATCCAACGCGTTTTGTCTTATAGACTATATCCCTAAAGAAGTCTATAAGACGAAACGCGTTGGATACAAGCCAGAACTATTTACTTTTGGTTTTTTCATTGTTTTTATTTATTTATTCTTGTATTGCTTATTTTTTATACCATATATATTTTTATTTTACCATATTTCCATATTACCACAGAGGGACTCCTTCTCCTGGGTACCACTTGTTAGTGGAGACATGCTGATTTAATCTTCATTTGATGATTGGGTGTTCCGAATATATTCCTTTGGTCTACACTGCAAGCTCACCTTGAAAGGAAACGCTATCGTAAATATAGATACCCTACGGAAGGGAGACAAGCGCAGATCTACAGTACGGTCCTGTAAGTTCTCTACCTTCGGGATTGAACTATTTATTTCTGTACATACTTCACTATTATGTGATTTTTTTATATTTTAGATCCTCTGAAGAATTGTTTTTTATTATATACAGGTTGTATGTTTCATGATATTTATTGGCTACCCCTTTAATCCATACTTTCACTTGTTGGTGTAGTATAAATTTACCTTTTTATCAACTAACTCTATATAAATTAAATTTGGACAGGATGAGTACTAAAATACTTTCTCGAGCAAGTGACTAACTGACAAAATCTATATATATAATCTTAACACATACATATGGGGATAATTCCCAATAAAACTATGTTCCTAAACATGAA